AAAGGAGACAATTTTAGAGAAGAAAATTTTTCGGTCGCTACCCGGATTCGAACCCGGGACCTTTGAATGAGAGGCCAACACCTTAACCTCTAGGCCACGAGAGCCCCCAGAAAAGATCTGTTAGCCAGAGAGAGAGCGAGAGAAATTGATAAAGAGATACAGAAAATATCCTTTTTACTGCAGGTGTTTTTACGCCCCCATCAACACAACTTAACTCATTTAGAAGGTGGGCTCTGACCCTGCCTGGGCAGAGTGGGATGCTACATCTCAGCTGAAAGCACCGAGATTCGGGGTAAAATCCCCCCCCCCTCCGCGCCCCCGCTCGGGAATGTTATTCTGTGTGTAACGACGTAAGCGCCAAACCACAAGAACACAGAGAAATCTTAAATTGTATCGATAGGGATTTGAAAATGATTGCATTAAAAGATCATAGAAGAAAAGAAAAACTTGAGGCACCTCGTCTGTGACCTTTGTTGTCAGTCAGTGACCCCTGCCTTTAACACCCTGTCTGTGATCCCCGTCCCTGAATCCACTCTTGACCCCGTCCCTGACCCCTGCTCATGATCTTCGCTTGTGACCACACTCTTGACCTTCGTCCATGACCCCCAGTCTTGACCCCATCCATGACCCCCGACCGTGACCTCCGTCCATGACCCAAGCTTAAGATTCCCTGTCTTCGACCCTTGTCTGTGAACTTCATCCTTGACCCCTGTCAATAACCCCCCGTCCATGACCCCAGTCCATGACCCCAGTCCATGACCCCAGTCCATGACCCCAGTCCATAACCTCAGACCATGACCCCGCCATGACCCCAGACCATGACCTCAGTCTATGACCCCCGTCTGTGACCGTCCGTGATCAGCAAAGAGAGAAACAACATTTGTGGTGAGATTTCTTTCCTTCCCCTCCTCGGGCAAACAACCCCGGGGGTACCATTTAGCAAATGAGGGATATTGGAATTCGATAGCAGTTGTGTGTTGTACGTTATTGACTCTCAACACGAACACA